TGTAGCGGCCAGGTCTCATTATATTGCCCAGGCTGGTTTCGAACTTCTGGGATGAAGCAGTCCTCTCCTTGGCCTCCCAAAGTGCTGGGATTACAGGCATGAGCCACTGCTCCTGGGACTAAAATAGCTTTGAGGTGAAAAAACAGCAATGGAAATTTGTTGAGTCCCATGAAATTGTTGGCTTTATAGGTAAAAATAATCAGCATAGGTAGTTTCATATGGTTTGAACTATGGAATCCTCTGATGTATGTGTGCATGTTATATTGTTGTATTTGACCGAGTGTAGAAAGTTACCACAAGACAAAAGTATGCCAGATTGCAGGGTCATTTAGTATGCCGGCGACCACAGAGGACTCACGTCTCTCCAACCTGTGGTGCCAAAAGGAGGGTGCCATGATTTTTTATACCCGAAAAACAACCTTGGGAGTGGGGGCGAGGGGCGGGGATGGGGATGATAAGGTTTCAGACATTCCAAGGGCTAGGGGATTCTGTGATTCACCTCCTGTGTGGAGACAAGGGCGGGGGTCTCCGGACATTCCAAGGGCTAGGGGATTCTGTGATTCACCTCCCGGGTGGAGACAGGGCGGGGGTCTCCGGACATTCCAAGGTCTAGGGGACTTTTGTCATTCTGTTTGTTACCTCAGTGGTTTACAGAAGTCAGGATATACATTTGTTTATACATCCTCTGGGTGGTGATAGAAGTCACAGATTTTAGCAGTTACTGATAAGAAAAGGTAAGCAGCTTTACATAGTTTTGAGGAACAAACTGGCAGTTCTATTTACAGAGGCCAAGGACAGTAGTTATTGTGAGGAGAATGGGGCAGCCGTTTCAACTTACCTAAAAACAGTTTTGCATCTTATAAAATAGTTTTGCTCCGGTTCTGGCTCTAGGCCAGCACAATATCACAATATCTCCACAATATAATTTGGATAGATTGTGCTAGTATTTAACAGACTCTGAGAAAGTGAACATAGGAAAATGTGGGGGTTCAGTCAGGCTGGTAGGAGAAATTTTAGTTAGAATATACGCAAACCCTTTTGGAAGGCCTGCAGGTTTTTACTATAGTACTTGGTTGAAGGCAACCTTGTCCCCTTTGTTAAATAAATTAGAGTAGAAACAAAGGAATGTGGGGAGTTTATCTAACTTGTTTACTCATAGTCCTAAAACTAACCTTTGATTTTTCCGGATGGTTCTCTCAGGGGGATGTCTACCAGAGATATTACCCTGGAATATTAATGGTGATTGTTTTAGGCCTCGGAACCTGGCCTTTAATCTTTATCCTCAAAGCCTTTGTCATTTAACGTATGCTGAATAAAGGCCAGGAAGGCCAGGGAGTTGGATAGGGGGAGCTGCTATTAACTACTTTGAGTGAATGGCCAGGACACCCCAGGCTTCTCTTCCGTTGTATTCTGTGTTAGAATGTACTTATTTATCCATTGTTGAGTCAGGGTGTGCAGGACAGACCCCTGCAGGAAAACCCAGCTTGTGTTGGTGGGGCAGATCTGGAGCCGCTAATAAAGGCTGTCTCTGTGGAGGTAGAAGAGATGTGGTAAATGCTCTCTGAGATTTTGGTGTAGACAGGGAAGACCCACAAACCAATAATTTAATAAACCAGATTACAAGCGTGGTGAGGTCCACGTGGGAGCAAAGGGGAAGGTCCTTTACCCAAAAGGGAGGGTGAGGATTTCTGCAGGCATCCCTACCTCCAGATCAGTAAATGCTAGGGAAGTTCTCAAAGCAGCAAATCAAGCCTTGTTTCTGAATTGCTGAATTACCATGTAGATTTTCACACTCTCTAAGGGTTGTAGGAAAATGCCATTCTTAAACTTGATTATGCAGAGTCACCCCGAAAATCCTTTTAAAATGTAGATTCACTTTCAGCAGATCTGGTGTGATGGTTAATTTTATGTGTTAACTTGCAGGATGTTTTTGATGAGGTTAACACTAGAATTATTGAACTTTGGGTAAATCTGGTTGCCTTCCATAATCTGGGTGGGCTCATTCAATCAGTTGAAGGCCTGTCTAGAATAAAGAGTCCAGTCCCCCACCTCTCCTCCCTAGGCAAGGGGGACTTCTCCAGCAGAATGTCTTCAGACTTGATCTGCACCACAGATCCTCCTGGGTCTCCAGGCATGTGTATCATCATCTGTTTTGGGTCTGGAGTTGGCTGGCCTATATTGTGAAAGCCAAAACTTTGTTACCGAAACTACCCAATTGGCACTGTTTCTCTGAGAAGCCTACTACATCTGGGATAGGCCTGAGATTCTGTACTGCTATCAAGCTCCCAGATGTCCAAGGTTATAGAAGACTTGGGCCAGGGAATATAGGTTCCAACAGACTTGAAAGACTTTAAACCAGAGGAATTTTTTTTTTAAATACACTTTTTATTTTAGAAATTTTAGGTTTACATAAATGTTGCAAAGACAGTACAGTGAGTTCTCCATAGCCTTTGCTTAGTTTGACCTATTATTAAGATCTTATGTTAGTATAATTCATATAATAAGCCAGTATAGATAATGAATTATTAATTGAAGTTCGTACTTGATTTGAATTTCTTTAATTTTTACCTAATATCCTTTTCAGTCCCAGGATCTTATCCAGGATGCCACATTACATGTAGTTATCTTGCCTCTTTAGGCTCCTCTAGATTGACAGTCCATGACTTTCATTGCTTGACAGTTTTGGTAGGTTTTGTAGAAAGTCTCTTAGTTTGGGTTGTCAAATTATTTTTTTTTTTGATGGAGTCTCATTCTGTTGCTCAGGCTGGAGTGCAGTGGTGCACCCTCGGCTCACTGCAGCCTCCATCTCCTAGGTTCAAGCGATTCTCCTGCCTCAGCCTCCCAAGTAACTGGGATTACAGGCTCATGTCACCATGCTAAGCTAACTTGTATTTTTCATAGAGATGGAGTTTCACCGTGTTAGCCAGGATGGTCTCAAACTCCTGACCTTATGATCCACTCATCTCAGCCTCCCAAAGTGCTGGGATTAGAGGCGTGAGCCACCACACCTGGCCTGAATGTTTGTATTATAATTAGACTGGAGTTACGGATTTTTGAGGGGAAGGTCATAGAAGTAAAGGGCCATTCTCATCAAATAATGTCAAAGGAATGTGCTCTCAACCATTTATCACTGATGATGATCACTAGTGATTTTAAGCCTCATCACATGCCTGAGGTCATGTTTGTCAGTTGTTTTCACTGTGAAGTTAACTCTTTTCCTCCTTGCCTCATTTTTGTCTTTGGGAAGAAACCAGTATGTGCAGCCTTCACTTAGGGATGGGGAGTTACCTATATTCCACCACTTTGAGGGGCAGAATTCTTTTTTTTGAGAGATTTGTTTATTCTCTCCCATTTATTTACTTATTCAATCATTTCTTTTTATTAGTGTGAAGTCATTGTTATTTATTTTATACTTTGGGTTATATTCTCAACACTATTTTATTTTTTTTTGTTGCTTAAATTATTCCAGCTTTGGTGACTAGGAGCTCTTTCAGTTGGCTCTTGTGTCTTGCATGCCCCCATTGTGGTGTTTTTGAGCATTTCCTTACTTTCTGGTATGATAAGATATTCTAGGCTCATCTTGTGTATTCTCCACCCCTGCCATTTCTCTAAGGAGAATGATATTACAAACTAAGATCTGAGCACTGTGTGTACTTCTTCCTACTGCAGTGTCATTGATTCTAGGTTCAGAGGAGGTACTTTTGTTTTATAATCTTCCCAAGAAGATTTTTTTTTTTTTTTTTTTTTTTTTGAGACGGAGTTTCACTCTTGTTACCCAGGCTGGAGTGCAATGGCGCGATCTCGGCTCACTGCAACCTCCGCCTCCTGGGTTCAGGCAATTCTCCTGCGTCAGCCTCCTGAGTAGCCAGGATTACAGGCACGCACCACCATGCCCAGCTAATTTTTTTGTATTTTTTTTAGTAGAGACGGGGTTTCACCATGTTGACCAGGATGGTCTCGATCTCTTGACCTCGTGATCCACCCGCCTCAGCCTCCCAAAGTGCTGAGATTACAGGCTTGAGCCACCGCGCCCGGCCCCAAGAAGATTTTGAAACAGGATGTTACTCTGTCACCCAGGCTTGAGTGCAGTGGTGTGATCATGGCTCCCTGTAAGGCTCAACCTCCAGGGCTCAAGTGATCCTCCTACCTCAGCCTCTCTGTTAGCTGAGACCACAGGCAGGTGCCACCATGCCATCTAATTAAAAAAAAATTGGTAGAGACAGGGCTTCCCTATGATGTCTAGGCTGATACTGAACTTCTGGGCTCTAGCATCCTCCTGCGTCAACCTTCCAAAGTGTTGAGAGGATAGGTGTGAGCCACCGTGCCTGGCCCCAAGAGGATTAAAAAAAAGGATGATGACACATTTTTTCCCCTTATATTTGGCATTTGTTTCCCCATTGCATGCTACCATAGAAGATCGTTGTTGGTGTTACTTATTAATTCTTTCTTTTTTTCTTTTGAGATAGAGTTTCACTCTTGTTGCCCAGGCTGGAGTGCAGTGGTGCGATCTCGGCTCACTGCAACCTCTGCCTCCTGGGATCAAGGTATTCTTGTGCCTCAGTCTCCTGAATACCTGGGATTACAGGCACCTACCACCACGCCTGTCTAATTTTTTGTATCTTTAGTACATGTGGGGTTTTGCCATGTTGTCCAGGCTGGTCTCGAACTCCCGACCTCAGGTGATCCACCCACCTCAGCCTCCCAAAGTGTTGGGATTACAGGCGTGAGCCACTGCGCCCAGCTTCATATTTATTCTTTAGTTAGTACTTTTCCTTTATCAACACTTTAGACCAGCACTGTTTAGCAGAAATATAATGCAAGCCATAGATGTAATTTTAAATTTTCTAGTAGCCACATTGAAAAAGTAAAACAAGGCTGGGTGTGGTGGCTCACACCGTAATCCAAGCACTTTGGAGGCCACGGCAGGCAGATCACTTGAGGTCGGGAGTTCAAGACCAGCCTGACCAACATGGTGAAACCTCACCTTTAAAAAAAAAAAAAAAGTTAAAGCAAAATAAAATGGGGAAATTAATTATATAGCATACATTATTTAACCTGATGTATTGGTTCAACATGTAATCAATATAAAATGATTAATGAGATAAGCTCTTTTTTTGGTACTAAATTTTTTTTTTTTTTTTTTTGGGACGGAGTTTCGCTCTTGTTACCCAGGCTGGAGTGCAATGGCGCGATCTCGGCCCACCGCAACCTCCGCCTCCTGGGTTCAGGCAATTCTCCTGCCTCAGCCTCCTGAGTAGCTGGGATTACAGGCACGCACCACCATGCCCAGCTAATTTTTTTGTATTTTTAGTAGAGACGGGGTTTCACCGTGTTGACCAGGATGGTCTCGATCTCTTGACCTCATGATCCACCCGCCTCGGCCTCCCAAAGTGCTGGGATTACAGGCGTGAGCCACCGCGCCCGGCCTAAATTTTTTTTTTATACGGAGTCTTGCTCTGTTGCCCAGGCTGGAGCACAATGGTACGATCTTGGCTCACTGCAACTTCTGCCTTACGGGTTCAAGCAATTCTGCCTCAGCCTCTTGTGTAGCTGGGATTACAGGCATCCACCAACATGCCTGGCTAATTTTTGTATTTTTAGTAGAGACTGGGTTTTGCCAGGTTGACCAGGCTGGTTATGAACTACTGACTTCAGGTGATCTGCCTGCCTCAGCCTCCAAAAGTGCTAGGATTACAGGTGTGAGACACTGCGCCCGGCCCTGGCTAATTTGTGTGTTTTTAGTAGAGACGGGGTTTCTCCGTGATGGTCAGGCTGGTCTCGAATTCTCAACCTCAGGTGATCCTGCCCACCTTGGCCTCCCAAAGTGCTGGGATTACACAAGCGAGCCACCATACCTGGTCCCAAAATATTATTAAAAGATATACTTGATAGGAAATTTTCCGTTAAATCGAAGATTTCTCTCCATTGTAATGTGTTCTCCTCTTCCCAGTGAGATTATCCTCTACATGGACCACAATGTATGAGGATATGGTACCGTTTTCTCCCCCTCCTCCTGCCCTTTTTTTTTTTTTTTTTTTTTTTTGAGACAGGGTCTCACTCTGTTGCCCAGGCTGGAGTAAAGTGGCGTGATCATGGCTCATGCAACCTCGACCTCTTGGGCTCAAGTGATCCTCCTACCTCAGTCTCCTAAGTAGCTGTGATGACATGCACGCAACACTGTGCCTGGCTAATTTTTGTGTTTTTGTAGAGATTTTGCCATGTTGTCCAGGCTGGTTGTTGAAACCTTGGGCTCAAGCAATCTGCCTGCCTTGGCCTCCCAAATTGCTGGAATTACAGGTGTGGGCCATGGTGCTCTGCCTGTTATCCCTTAAAAACTGCTTCAATAGTAGCTTACTGCTTAGATATTCACGGGCACAGCTGACACTCCTATAACAAAAGACAGGTTACCAAGGTAACAGATAACAAATTTGATCGAAGTTTTATGTGCTATGGGAGCTTCAGAAATGAAGCTCCAAAGATCCAGGGAAAACTGTCTCTTTTAATATTTGGGTTCAGTAAAGAATGGAGAGCTGTGTAGAAATGTGATTAAGTAAAACGGTATGATCTAGTGGCAACAGACTGAGTGTGGGGGGAACCCAGCAAAGTTGATCAGTTCAAAATCTTAGTCTCTGTGTAGCATTTCTTCCTCCCAGACATGGGACCGGATGCCTCTGGAATGAAGGCCTTCAAGGAAGAAGGGAGAAGTGGACTTTCTAGGTTTTATGGCTTGTTTGGGGGACAGGGGTTCTAGTTTCTATCACCTGCCTTGGTGAAGAAGAATCCAGTTTCTATTACTCACTTTGAGAGAGAAAGAGGACCGGGAGACAGGAGGGCAGGAGAAGGTCAGAGAGACTTTATTTCTGAGATTGCTTCCGAGGCTTCCCAATCTCCTTTAGTTCAAGGTACTCAGCATTGCCAAAGTGCCAGACTTTGGGGTATCTTTTTCTGAGCCCAACATATCCAATATGTATATATTTATAAAGTGCACACATACACTATCAACACTCAACAAACACTTAAAATGGATGAATTGCAGACTATTGATAATCAGAATATATAAGGAACTCAAACAACTCAATAGCGAAACCCACAATCTAATTTTGAAACAGGCAAAAGACCTGAATAGACATTTCTCAAAAGAACACATACAAGTGACCAATAGGTATATTAAAAAATGCTCTATGTCACGAATTGTTAGGGAAATGCGTACCATGACCATAATGAGATACCATCTCTTACCCTACTCAGAAGGGCTATTATAAAGAAGACAAAAAGAAAAATACAAATTCTGGTGCTGATGCAGGGAAAGAGGAATGCTTGTCCACTGTTGGTGGGAATGTAAAGTAGTATAGTCATTATGAAAAACAGTATGTAAGTTCCTCAAAAAACTAAAAATAGAACTATCCTATGATCTGGCAGTCACACAGCTAGGCATATATCCAAAAGAGAGATCAGTATATTGGAGAGAGAGCTCTACTCCCACATTTATCCTAGCTCAGCTCTAGTCTCAGTGGCCAAGAAATGAAATCAACCTGCATCCATCAACGGATGAATGGATAAAGAAAATGTGGTACATATATGTGACGGAATATTCAGCCATAGAGAAGAATAAAATCCTGTCATTTGCAGCAACATGGATGGTCCTGAAGGTCATTATGTTAAGTGAAATAAGCTAGGCACAGGAAAGTTCATATGTTCTCACTCATATAGGAGAGCTAAAAAAGCGGATCTCATGAAGGTAAGAATTGAATAGTTGGTTACCAGAGGCTGGGAAGGGTAGAAGGAAGGGAGGATGAAGAGAAGTTGGTTAATGGGTACAAAAATATACTTTGATAGAAGCAATAAATTCTAATATTCAATAGTATAGTAAGGAGACTATAGTTAACAAAAATTTATTACATATTTCACAATAACTGGAAGAGAATTGGAATGTTCCCTGCACAAAGAAGAGATAAATGTTTGAGGTGATGGATATTCCAATTACAGTGATTTGATCATTATGTTGTATGCAGGTATCAGAATATCATATGTCTGCCCAAAATATCTATAACCCTTATATAGTGATAAAAAAAGCTCATCTAAAGAATTAAAAAGGTTGAGAAAAAAGTATAAATATTGTGATTTTTTTCTGGATCATTTTGCACATGCTCTTGGGTAGGTGCACCCCACTTTGGAGATCACTGTCTAGAGGATAAAATCAAAATTCTTTGGTATAGGTCACAAGGCCTTTACAAACTGGCCCCAGCTTACATTTCCAGTCCCATCTTCCACCACTGCTGCCACCTGCTCTGTGCTTCACACGTTGTTCTATTCATTGAATCTCATACATCTCATGTTTTCCTTGTGTTGTTTCCTCCACCTGTTTGCTTCTTTTGTGTATGGTAGGTTCTTATTTGTCCTTTGAGGCTAAAAGATCACCTTTTATTTACTGATTCCTTGATAATCTCTCCCTTACTCTGTGCTCCTCTGTATATTGTACACACCTTTGTTATAGCATACCATGTTAAAGTTATCTAAGGCAGGTGAATAGTATGTGAGTCATTCCTTGAGAGCAGAAACCTTGACTTACTTATTTTTCATTTCCTGCTTTAAGCAGAGACAATGAATATTTATGGAGCCCCATATTATCTGTAAGGCACTGTCCTGGTTGCTATGGGGGTATACACTATCAGTGGAGCAGATAGATATACAAGATAGCAATATATATCAGTGGAGCAGATAGAGATACAAGATGTATAAACATAATATCTGCTTTCAAGGATCTTATAAGTGAAAGGCACCTTGAAGGAAATATTTCTTAAAACTGTGCAAGGAAAATATAAAGTATTTTCCTAACAGTTACGGAAGTCAGAGGACATATTTTTATATCTCTTTTTTATTAACCAAGTGGTATATGATTTTTTTTTTAGACGGAGTCTCTGTCACCAAGGCTAGAGAGCAATGGGGCCATCTCTGCTCACTGTAACCTCTGCCTCCTGGGTTCAAGCGATTCACCTGCCTCAGCTTCCCGAGTAGCTGGGATTACAGGTGCGTGCTACCATGCCCAACTAATTTTTGTTTTTTGTTTTTAACGTAGATACAAGATTTCACCATGTTAGTCAGGCTGGTCTCAAACTCCTGACCTCATGATCCACCCATCTCTGCCTCCCTAAGTGCTGGGATTATAGGTGTGAGCCACCATGCCCAGCCTGGTATATGATTAATGTATTCCAGAAGAAGAGTGATTAATATTTTTAGCAAAGGGTTTCGGTAATGGAGCCTGGACATACTTTCCCATACCGTTTCCTCTAGGCAGCTATACTGTCAGATGTCCTCAGATACCGTTCAAAATGGGAGAGACATATGTGCATAGCTTTCTGTTTCTCTTATGGCATGCACCCATTGTATTCATAGCAGAATTTGGATTTCCTCAGTGCTTTTCGACTTAACAATTGGGTAGTTCTTGTAGCATACTCACAGAGATATGATCATTATTATAACCATTTCAAAGAGGAAAACTAAGAGATGGCAACTGAATGAAGTGATTTGTCCGAGGTTAACAACAGCCACTGTTGTCATTCAGATTTATTGCTTTTCATAATATTCAAATTCTAGGTGGTGCTTCTTCATAACTGTTGTAATTTTGTACATGTTTTATGTTATTTTTTGCATCTTAAATCTTGAAGCACAATTTTACTTAGTCTTGGAAATCATTCAAATGATAAGTATATAATGTGTGGCCAATTGCTGATTACAAATTATATGGCATTTTCTTTGTCAATTTCAGTTACTTGCTTTAGGGGAGCTGAAAACATAGCCGCTGTGAAAAATATATATGTACACACACATACACATTAGTAATGTTACCTCTGTGAAAGCTTGGAAGAGAGCAATCTTTAAAATTTAAACACATTGAAAAATTTAAAAAGATTTGTCACAGTTTTATCCCTGACCCCAGAGAATTTCAAATAAATCAAATTTTGTAGATATTGTAAAATATTAATGGAGCAGATAGAAAATCAGCTGGTAGAATCACACAAGAAACACGAGAAACAGAATGACCTTTCGACATGAGCTAAAAGTGCATGCAAAGCAACTAAAAATTGCAAGGCTCAGGCAGATTAAAAGATTAAGGTTCAAATCTATTTTTTTAAGTAATATGTGAAGCCAAACAGGGCTGTTGAGTCAGCTTTTCCTGTTAATCCTTTTTGGTCCAAAATCTTTTCATACATCATATATTCATATTTTCTGACTAATAAATGATATAGGGGCTCAGAAACTAATTGCTGTTGTTTTATAACAGGGAAGAAAACTCAAAATCAATGGAATTTAAACTGCTGTATTTAAGTATAACTGATATATGAAAATTGCACACATTTAATGTGTATAATTTGATGAGTCTAGACATATCCCCACACCTCTGAAACTATCATCACAATTGAGGTAGTAGACACATACGGCACCTTCAAAAGTTTCCCTGTGCCTCTTTGGTTTCTTCTTCTTCTTGTGAGAACACCTAACATGACATCTACCCTCTTAACTCTTTAAGTGCACAATACAGTATTACTAACTATAGGCACTACGTTGTACAGCAGATCTCTAGAACTTATTCACATTGCATAACTGAAGTTTTGTAGATATTAAACAAAGACTCCCTATTTCCTCTCCGTCTAATCCCTGGCAACTTCATTCTATTTTTTGCTTCTATGTGTTTGACTATTTTCAATACCTCATATGAGTGGAATCATGCATTATTTGAACTTCTGTGTCTGCCTCATTTCACTAAACATAATGTCTTCCAGGTTCCTTTCATATTGTTACAAATGACAGTATTGGCGTCTTTTTAAAAGCTGAATAATATTCTATACTCATTCATCTGTAGATGAAAATTTGAGTTGTTTCCATGACTTGGCTATTGTGAATAAAGCTGCAATGAATATGAGAGTGCAGATATCTCTTCAAGATACTGATTTCAATTCTTTTGGATATACACCCAGAAATGGGAATGCTGCATCATATGGTATTTCTATTTTTAATTTTGTGAGGAGCCTCCATACTGTTTTCCATAGTGTGAATGATTTTACATTCCTACCCTAAGCGTGCAAGGGTCCCCTTTTCTCCACATCCCTGCCAACTCTTGTTATCTTTTGTTTTTGATAATAGCCACCCCAATGTATGTCAGATCGTATCTCGTTGTGGTTTTGATTTGCCTTTTTCTGATGATTAGTGATGTTGAGCATGTTTTCAAATATCTGTTGGCCATTTATGTCTTCTTTTGAGAAATGTCTATTCTAGTCCTTTGCCCATTTTTTAGTAGGATTTTTTTTTTTGCTACTTATTTATTTTTGGTGTTAGCCTTTTATCAAATGTATAGTTTGCAAATATTTTCTCCCATTTGGTAGGCTGTCCTTTCTCCCTGTTGTTCCCTTTGCCGTGTGGAAGTTTTTTAGTTTGATGTAGTCCTACTTGTCTAGTTTTGCTTTTGGCTTTTGTTGTCTGTGCATTTGGTGTCATATCCAAGAAATCATTGCCAAGACTCTGTACTTCTATGTTTTTTTTCCTAGGAGTTTCACAGTCCTGTTTTTTTTAGTGTACTGCCCTAAGGATAAGGGGTGGTGGTTTATGGCAGTCTGATGATTCTGCAAGATTGGGAGAATGTACACAACCCTGAAATTACTCCTCCAGGAGAAGAGAGGAATGAATGTGCACATCTGTAAGAAAGGATTTATTTATTTGTCTGTTTATTCTTTTTTTTTTGTTTAGAGATAGGGTTTCACCTTGTTGATCAGGCTGGTTTTGAACTCCTGACCTCAGGTGATCCACCGGACTCAGTCTCCTAAAGTGCTGAGATTACAGGCGTGAGCCACCGCACCCAGCTGTTTGTTTATTCTTTAAGGACTGAATATCACTCAGGAGATAGGAAACGTTTGAGAGGCTCTTGGAATCTCTGGTCTGGTCTATTGGTTAAGATCTTTTTCTGCTGAAGCCAGTCCATAAGTCAATGGATTTTGATATTTCATGTTAAAACATCATCACAACCTACCAATTAATACAATTATAACTCTTTTTCTAATAAATATATTCTTTGAGTTTTATACAGATTCAGTCATGTTTAAGATGACACAGTAGAGTTTATGAGATATAGAGAAGCTGTGATTACTTATTTTGAAAGGAAGTAGCTGGATTTTCATTTTTTAGGTATTCTTTTTTTTTTCCTCCCAGAGTCTTGCTGTGTCACTCAGGCTGGAGTGCAGTTGCATGATCTCGGCTCACTGCAACTTCTACTGCTTGGGTTCAAGCAATTCTCCTGCCTCAGCCTCTCCAGTAGCTAGGATTACAGGCACACACCGCCACACCCAGCCAATTTTTGTATTATTTTTTTATTTTTAGAGGAAGAAAGAGATAAAAAATTAAAAAAAAAAGAAAAAGAAAAAAAAAAAAAAAGAATAAAGGAAAGGAAGAAAGAGGAAGAGGAAGAGGGAGAGAGAACAGGGGTGTTGCTTTATTGCCCGGGCTAGAATGCAGTCTAAAAATGGGTATGCCTGTAATTGTGTTTAATAATAGAGACATAAAAAAAAAATAAATAAAAATAAAACTTGCTTCAGCCTCCTGAGTAGCTGAAACCATAGGGATGTAAAAAAATAAATAAATAAATAAATAAATAAATAAATAAAAAATGAGGGAAGAAAATAATTAACAAGCAGCCAACCAATATTTCATTTAAACCTGTAAATACGTGTGATGTAGTACTGATAAGAGTGTATATTTTGTGTATTTAAAGTGGAGAGTTCTATGAATGTTAATTAAATCTACTTGTTCCGGATCTGAGGTCAAGTCCTGAATATCGATGTTAACTTTCTGTCTCATTGATCTGTAAGTCTCCCACTATTATTGTGTGGGAGTCCAAGTCTCTATAAGTCTTATGTATCTGGGTAT